CGATGAATCACGATTAATCCGATTGTTCCAGCCATGAGTGGGTTACTGCTGACGGTGTCTTGTGCATCGAAAACGAGCTGAAGCATTATTTTAATAATTAAATCCATTTGAATTATATTAATAAAGCATTTTAAAAACTAATTTAAATTCTTTGAGCAGTTGGATTTCTGACAGAAAATGTCTCTTTGGGCTTAGCAGCCTGATTGAACATGAAATCCAGAACTTTGCGATTAGTCCTCATCATGATCATATTATACAGTTTTTCAGAGAGCAATATAGAGTGTTTGATCGGATGAATGAGGTCCTCTTCCTCACTTTGAGCATGCCTTTAATTCAAATTGGTAATGATTAATATAATCCTTGATAATATGCTCATTTTTTTTTAAAACATTAGGTAGAGCATTATCGTTACACCATTTGATGAAAGCAGGAAAGGTTTTACTATAGTGTGACTGTGCGGCCTGAAGAAAAGAACATGATGATAGTCTAATGAGCTTTTATTGCTTTTCTGAGACATTTTGTGAATGTCACAGTTAACCTTGGTAGCTCGGTGGTTGACATTCGAAATCTGCTGGACTCTCATTAAGAAATTAAACAATTACAGCTGATTGGGGTGTTTCAAATAGGATTCAAAGTGGTGAATTAGAAAGTCGGTCTGATTTTCTATTAAAAAAACAACATATTTAGTTGGAAGAAAAAGGTGTAGAAGAAATATTTAGNATGAAGCTAAAACTCCCATAATGCTAGTTTAGATGTATTATTATAAAAATATGCATGAATGAATGGATGGATTGATTTTTAATGGCGTTATTGTTTGCATGCAGGGCCATCAAGAACGGAAAGGGGCTGCACAGCAAAAAGGAGGTCCCCATCCACAGAGTGGCTGATATCTCAGGGGTATGCATCTTTTTAACATTTTTTTTTTATAATGCATGTTTATTCATCCTACGCTAGGAAATAAGATGGTTTACATGATGTGGATAATAGGATGAGCATTCATGTGCTGTGGCTATAATTGGAATTAAATCGTTTTAAATGTGGAGTCATTTGCACATAAACAACATAACTCTTAAAAGATACGTTAGGGCCTGTAATTCTGAGAAAATGATCTATAATCATTGACTCATCCTCAGTGGCCTCTAAAAATAAACATCATTAATAGAGGCATCTCGGTCCTTGCCTGTTTACGTGTGCTCAGGGGCTTGATTGAGGCGTCATTTGGCTAATGAAGCCTGATTGGAAGGGCTCATCACACGAACATTATTGTGGGAAATTCATAAAACCATGCAGTAAAGGTTGAATGGTGAGCTGTTTTTTGTTCATATGCTCAACCCAGGTTTTTTTATTATTATTATTTTTTTTTTTGTGCAGTTCCATTTTTTCTCTAATGCTTACAGAATGATTAAGTAACAGAATAATTTAATTGTATCTTACAAAATGAAGAGCATTTGAATAGATTAGTTCTTTAGTTTCTGCTGAAGGAGAAATTTGGAGTAAAGAATTTATTCAATATTCTCTTTTTCAGAGTAAAGAAGCAGACTAAAGTGTATAATATTTTTTGGACTCTAATCTTGTGTGTTTGGGGAATTTATACAAATATGCAAAAAATAAAAGGAAACTTTGAAGTTTGCAGGTATCTACTCCCTAGAGCCTAAAGTTCTTTGTGTGGTTTTAAAAGTGGGTCTTATTAGAGCATGTAATAAAAAAATAAAATCCCTTAATTTTTCTAATTTTCACATAACTAAATGTTTGAAATAACTGTACAGTCTTGGGTAAACATGCATTTTTTTTATGTATGAAGTGAAAGTGCTCTGTTTTGTTAAACTTATATTTAATTTGATTTTAAAATGTCACATTTCCAGCAAAGAAAACAAAGAAAAACATGCAGTTATTTACCACATGTCAAACATGTTTATATCTCATTTTTAACTGTTATAAACCCAACACAAGCAGAGAGAAATGAAAGGGTGACTGGTCCAAATTAGGCAAAGGTTAGAGGTCAAACTCCACTCCAGCAGCCAGCGGAGTCTGCAGGCTGCTGCCACTGTGAGCTTTCAGCTCTGCTGCCCTGAAAACCCAGAGAACGGGTTTCAAAGTCGGGTTATTTCTGATAAATTGACTGAGTAGCAGACATTTCTGAGGCCAACTTTACTGCTTAAACTCTTTTTTTAAAGATGAATATCTATATAAAAAAGAAAATTAAAGTCACCTTTTGTAGTCACCACAGCTGCTGGGGAAGCAATGCACTGTGGGATATCTTGCTGCTTACTACCTCTCCCCTATAATAATCCTGGGGTAATCTAAAAAGACCTACCTGCAGGCCAGGCCCTTCTTCCACGACCCCAGAAAAGTCAAAATAACCTCCGTGAAATTGTATTGAAATGTGGCCGAGGTTGTCAAAAGTTCCAGGCGCTTATAGAGATATTTTGTGATGCTCTTTGTATCTCCGACATGTTCTACAGCACTCTGAAGCTACAATACATTTATACTTATTAGCCCTTGGCTGTCACTGGGTTCAGGTCAGTACCATTATGCTACTGCAAAACCCTCCCTTAACTCCTTTGTCTTCAGTAGGACATGCTTGATCTGCAGCACAGTTTGGTTTGTTGCCAGAATGTGTGGATCTGCTCACACACACACCAGTTGTTTGGCAAGGCTAATGTTAACATTTTTTTAAAGCATTACAAGGACAAAAATAACACTGTTGCTCACCAGCCCCAAAATACTTTCCCTTTCCCTCTAAATTCATGCACACACACACGCATGCATATAGCACTACACAGACAGAGCCGTCCCTGTCAGAAATACACACTTCTATACGTCAGCATCCTTTGCTAAAGGTCTGTTGAAAGGGATTATGCACGTTGAGTGGGATGCAGTCACAAATAGTGCCGAGATAGGTTTATAAATGTATACTGTAGGAGATGCACAGAGGTGGTGGGAGGAGAATGGATAAGGCACTTGACTCACCTCGTGCCTCTAAAGGTTGCATAATGAGGTCCTCTTCTTTCACTTGTCTCTCCCTTTTTCTGAACCAAGTTAGGCTGCACAGCCCACACATGCTGCAGGTGTGGTAAATGTTTGTGTGAACTGGAGTGTCATCTCCCACTCGAGGGGTTATTTTGGAATGCAGTGGGTGGAGTTCAGGTGGAACATCTTATGGCTTTAGTATATACCCTCACTAACACATTCCCATTTGAAGCACGCTGATGATGTGCTCTTTATTTTGTTTTTAGTAAATATGTTGCTTTGAGCTGTATTTCACTCCCTGGTGGAAAGATGGGATGAAAGAAAATATTGATAAATTTAGTTTTGGAAACACTTTGAGCTCTCAGTAATTTACTTTAGAAAATGGTTAGCTTTTGTTTTGTTTTGTTTTTTTGCTTTGGTTCCGACTTTGTGTCTGAGCCTTTGTTCCTACTCCTGTGTCCATGCTGGCTCATCCAAACACAACACTGGTGCATGACTCACCGGTCTGTTGTGCCTACATGCTCATGCCTGGAGTAGGTTCACATTAAATTATTTTTTTATCGTTTATGAATCTTCTTTTGCTTCTGCAGCACTAGTGCTCCCTGAATACACGATTTAGCTCAGATTATAATTTTTGGCCCAAGAACACCAAGAAATTGTGAGTCACTTTTTCTGACGGAGATGGGAGCAGGAACGGGGGAATAATTTTTGATTGCATGATGCTCCAGATGTGTCACTGCGAAGCAAGGCACACTTTATATTATGAAAATATAAAGATATCTGGAAAAAAAGCACACTTATTAAAGCATGTTTGAGTGAAACTTACCTTAAACTTACCTTAAAAGGCACAGGATACATTTTGTGTTAAAATAAAAATTTTCCTTTCAGGAATTATTTATTTTCTATTATAAAAATACAAAAAGAAATTGTGAAAGGGAAAGGCAGCCAACTAAGTTTAAGGATTTCAACAATTCCATCTTGGAAATGCCATCCTTGAATTATGTATAGTTTCCACTAGGGCTGCAACTAAGGATTATTTTGCAGATCGATTAATCTGTTGATTATTTTTTTCAATTAATTGATTAATAATCAGATAGCCAAAGGTTCCTTAAAGAATGTTTTCTTAATGAATCTGCTGAAACTCGAACTTTTCTTCTTGAGGAGTTCTGGATAGAGCACAGACAAACACAATTTTTATTTTAAATGCAAAATCTTTTTAAAAAATATTTTATTTTTTTACAATTTTTGTATAATTACAGCTTTAAGTGGGTTACTCTGTCAGCTAATGGCATGTTTTAGAATCTCTACTCTCCAGTTAATGATTAATCAATTACTAAATTAGTTGATGATTATTTCAATAATCGATTAATCAGATTAATTATTTCAGCCCAAGTTTCCACCCATAGTTGGATTACCAAAATCTTCCACTTGAATTTGAGTTTTTAAGTTTACTCAGTAGCTGTATTTCCATTACAAATGTGTGCAAAACTGTCAATATTCTGCTCAATTCAAAAATGTAAAGTTCTGCAATTGCTGTATTTCTATTAAATGGAAAATACCCTAAAAGTTGTACTTGAATATGTTTATTTACTTGATAAATCTGAAAACTACATGGCAGCGGCAGAGATATTTTTATATTTTATCTTTAGTGGGCTCCATCATCCTCACACTTCTTCCAGTCCTTTTCTTCATCTTTTTACCAGGTAGAAAGGTCCAGTTGCAGATCACGTGACTCGTGTTATCCGAAAAGCATTGTTTGCAAAATGTAAGAAATCTTATGACTGAAAAACCACCTCATCAAATCGTAAAAAAAAATATTTTCACAATTATAATGAGCTCTATGACAACTCCACTAATTCCTGAACTTAAGGCAGCTATTCTGTTCCCTGTCTTTCATTAATGGATGGACTGATTAATTCAGGTGTGCTGGCCATGGCTACTGAGGTCAGGCACACTTGAATTAATCCGTTCATCCAGTAGAAAAAGACGGAGGGAAAAATAAAGTGCTGCCTTGTGTTCAGGATGTAATGGGGGAAAAATAAAGTGCTGCCTTGTGTTCAGGATGTAATGGAGTTGTGCATACAGCCTAATTGCTCAATTTAATGGTTAATGGAAACATGCCTGGTTAACGACGGCCTTCTAACTGGGGACAGCTACATATATTTTTTTCTGATGCAAAAAATAAAAACCAAAAGATACTAAACAATGAAAGCACCTATAAACTCTGTGGTCTGGCTGCCGACTCCCTGTTGGATTAATATGTTGGATTAATATGTCCTAGCGGTGGATTAAGCGGTTTGCCTTGTTTTGTCAGCTATGGGTTCTGCCACCCCTAACTCCAAATGGAAATAACATGCTTTTTACAATCATGTTTTTTTTTGTTTTTTAAGCGTCATCTTTTAGCTGGTTAGAATTTTTTTTTAGCCAGTCCGAATTTTAAATCTTTTTGTTGGGGCAGAAAACTACATTAAAATACTCTGACAATAATGCTTAACCTGTCTTTAACTGTGCTACCAATTGTTCCCCACATATTCTTTTAATAAATATGTTTTTATTAAGTAACACTGGGGATATAGATTACATTTCTATGTACAATACTCACCTTCTGCTAGGAAAAGCCTGTTACAGTTTTTAGTAATTGCCCTTTTAGATTGAGTTGCCAAGTTTGTCAAAATGATGCATAATCCACTTATGGTTTGTTTCATATCCCACAGATTTAGATGTCTTGTTGCCATTTGTTTCAAAAAAATTTTTTTTTGTCTTTTCTACAGGAAACACAGAAAGCCAAGCAGTTCCTCCCCTTCCTTCAGAGAGCTGGTCGGTCAGAAGCTGTTGTCGAATACGTCTTTAGCGGTTCTCGTCTCAAGCTCTACATGCCCAAAGAGACCTGCCTCATCACGTTTCTCCTGGCTGGTAGGTTTGCTTTTCTAATCTCTGAGTCCTTTTAGGTTTTATCATGAGTGATTCTATGTAAATAGCCAGTTTTTGAGTTTTTAAATCACTCTTAACATTGTTTAAAAAATGGAATTTGCTTGTCAAACTTTAAATAAAACCCCAAACTGGCACCAGCTGGAATTATTCAGTGCATCTGTTTTTCCTTCATTGTTCAGTGCATCATATCCAAATAAATATGGCAAATATTTAACTAATCACTGAGCCTATAACAAGGTGAAGGTGAGTTTAATGTTATTCATAGATTCATGTTCCTACTTCAGGGTAGATGGATGGCAGCAGATGTTATTGGGTCACCTTTCTCTGCTTCAGATTGAACTTGAAGTTCTTGAAATATTCTCTGCTACACTTTTTTATTTAATTAGGTTGAAAGAAAGATACCTTTTCTTTGAACAACTCACCAGTTCAGCTTGATCTTATTAGCTCCTAATCAGAGTTAATTAGCTTTGAATGTATTTAGTAGAAGGTTGATCTGGAAGTTTCTGTCGAGCACCACTAGTGTTCCTAAAAACAAACATTGGTATTCATACCACAGGATGAGAGCCTTCCATCTAATTGATTCTTTTGATAATTTTTTTTCTACAATTAATTCTTTAAACTCCTTTGCTTATGAAAGAAAAACACAACAAAGTGGTTGTAATGGTGTAAAACTCTTGTGAAAAGGGAATTGAGGATTTTGATGTTTTTACAGTTAAAGAGTAAACACATTTTAGTCCCAAGAGTTTTTGTTTTAAACTTTTAGAAGGTCAAGTTGGGAAGGTTTGATATGTTCCCAGAATATCAACTTGTACCTTTTGGCATTTCAGGAAGAGTCTGTTTATTTCCCCTGCTACAGGTTGTAATCGCTTGTCTTTTAGCTCATAAGCAGCAACTCGGGGGACATGTGTTGAAATAAACATAACTGCAACAATAAACTTATCTGATCAAACCTGAAAGAAAGCTATAATAACAGGTGAATCTCTAAAAGAAAAAAAAAGATTTTGTTAAAGCTTAAAATAAGAACAGTTGAAAAGAACCGTAACCACAAAAACCTGTGTGCTAAATGCTTGGATATGGTTCCTGTTGCATGAATTGCAGCGGTAATGTAGCATGACATGGAGAATATCGAGCTGGTTCTTCTAAGATAAAGTCTAGTTTGTGTTTATATTGACCTTCAGTGCATCTCTATTTCTGGGTATGTTGTAGGGCTGGACAATAAGGCTAAAATGCATCTCGAGATATGTGTCTTAATTTTGATGGTATGGTATAATTTCGATATCGATATAAACTATGTGAAAGCCTCAGGAAAACTACCAAGAATCCCCAACAAATGCAAGTACAAACTTGGGGAAAATGATTTTCTACTTAGTTTTTTTTTACTTTACTAAGTCTGGGAAACTCTTTAGTTATAATATTTTAGAAATATTACTATATATGAGCTGTGTTTGAGCTCCAAGCTAAACAAATTAGACCCACATTTAACCAGGTAATTATCTCTCCCTCCCATATTTCTCAATCTATCGGTTCTTGTCTCACAGATTCTGTTATTACCTCCTTCATTTTTTGTGATTAACTTTCATATGTTCAAAAGAAAGAAAAAATCAAAACAAAAAACACCCAAACCTGAAAGACAATGATTACAAATCATCATAAATTAGCAAAGCTACTCATAAATAGCTCTGAAAATGCAAACAAAAGGTCAGCAGTCAATTGGAAAACGTCTAAATTTTAATGAACTCCTAATGATGCTGTAGGTGGTGTTTCTTCCCTTCTTTACCTCATATGCCACAGATTACCCCCTCTTCTACTCTGACTTATGTTGTTCTGTTTGTCAATAGAAGTTTGATTTATTTTGAACTTTTCATTTTTGGTTAAACCAAACAGAACTTAGCTGTATTTCTTGTTTAACCAGTGACCCTTCCTAGTGTGAACCAAACCTTTATCACAGCAAAGATTGGCTAAGTCAAAACCAAATAACCACTTAAAACGCCGCATAACATCACTGTCAGTCGATGGTGACGACGAGGTGCTCAGTTCTTTAAGCTGTAGATTATTAGCATCACGCTTTCTACATGGTTTATCTGCAGCATTCTGTTTCTCATTCTAAAATCAGAGACATTTGAGTTGCA